TTTTTTTTTTTAGGAATGGTACCGAGACCGTATCAATAATGTTTTCGAAACCAGAAAAACGAGCAAACTGGGAAGAGTCTTTTAACGAGGCCAAACAAAAACTCGGTTAGTAAAATGATATATATTGGCGTATTACTCAACAATAGCGCACCAGATGCGTCCATAGATATAAGAACTTTTACAAGACCTACATAATAATAGTATTAAATTGGTTGTAAGAGAAGTGTCTATACGTGTAGACTATTTCATGGTAGCAGGTATATTCGATTCYTGCAAACGATAACAATACAACTACAATAATGTTTAGGTTTGTCGATAAAACAGCGGTGGTAACCTCGGTGGTTGGTTGCACTATTATGTTGCTTTACGTCATCCCCCTTTTTGTATACACGYCATGACGATGCTTTTGAATGCATTTAAGACTTACACCTAACACTTGTTTTTTAATCACTGCTTTTCCTTTCGTGCATTTCAGTCCTATCCACGGACCGGAGGCCGAATGCTGATTTCGTGGGGCCAGTGCCCATACGAAAGACCCGGGCCGGTTTGCAGTTTACGTGTGCAGCGCCCGCGTTGAACCAAAGAGACGTGTGGGTTTGCAACAGTGACGGGTACGTGGGCCAAGTGTGCGTGCTGAGCCTCTACCCCGAACCGACGGTCACCTCGTGTAACGGTGTATGCAACGCACGCATACTGTGCGTTACCTCGATACCTGCACCCCAACGCATCGAGTAAGTCGCCCAGTTCTGTACGCTGTCTGCAGCGAGAMAATTATGATATAGGCACTGTGATAACAATTCAATTTTATCAATTTTCTTTTCCCCTTTGGTTCGCCACCCAGTCAAGCCAACAGTGCCGACAAAGACGACCATAGCAGTAATCCAGAGATCAGCATATCGATCGAAGACTGCGCTGAGCAGACCGGACCGGACATCAAATTGGATAGGTACGTATAATGAACGTTTTGTGATCACACCAACAGCCATTTACGATTTACGTGTCACACCCAAGAGTCGTATAGGCTGWGTCAATTCTAAAAACAGACGAATGGGGTCATTCGCAACGATGATGCACCGTTTGTATAAGAGTGGCTAGAAATTTGCTTCAACAAATTAAAAAGCCAGGAATATAGAATTCAAACAAATATAATAAATTTCTGATTGATAACTATAGATATAAGACTACGAAGTAGGTCTGAAAACATGTTCTTAAAGTATTTAAATGTCGCGTTGATTTCATTTTTTTGTCATAAAAATTGAAAACTTCGAACATAAATTTCGTTCTTTTAAATTAACATAAAAAATTGTAAGATATTTAAAAAAAAATTTTAACTTTTTGAGTAAAACTGGTGCACAACAATATTTATTGCGCAGCTTTCTTATCTACTAAGAAAATGTAATCCTCAAACCAGTTGGTCGTAGGATGGAGGTAATTCTAAATTAGTTCCCACAAATTTATACTCATATTGTTTTGTCCCACAGCTCGTCGAGTGAAGAGGATGACGAAAAGGACGCCGGTCACGATCGCGTCCCTGACGGAATGTACCCCACGGACCCTGTGGACTTTGAAGGTGAACCCACCATGTGGTTGGGTACAGAAGACGGATGCATACACGTGTACAATTCAATGGACAACATTCGAATAAAACGGAATAAAGTCAAAATTCAACACGGGTCAGCTGTGCATTGTATCATGTAAGTGCTTGGCGTGGACCAATAACATTAATTTTATAATACAATTTCAATTATTATGATTTAAAACTGTATTATTATGTTATTATAAGTGATGTTAGAAAGTGAATGGCATAAATTGCTTATATAATTGAGTATTTTTTATGTTTTGTTTATCTTAATTTAATATTTAACTGTTTAAAATAGGGAATAATAGTAAAACTATTTCTGTTTAATAGATATCTCAACAATCGCGTTTACGTTTCATTAGCAAATGGTGATATTTGCATCTACTACCCAGACACGAGTAAGTATATTATGACAATACCTATATATCTGCAATATTTTATTACAATCTTTAATCTTCAGATGGTAGTTGGAATACATCGGATCCGGTGACCATCAACGTTGGTTCAGCTGCTATCCCGGTTTCCAAAATGCTGCCCGTTGGTGATAAGCTCTGGTGCTCGTGTCACAATACGGTCAAGATATTCGACACGGTCACATTACAATTTCAAGTGAGTGGAAATGATGACCTGGTTGTCCTGCAAAAAAAAAAAAAAAATTACAGTTATTTAATAACTCATAATTCACCTAGTTATATATTAATGTGTACTCAACTGCATGTGTTCGGATAAAAGCATCTTCGACAACATATGAATTTGTTTTATATTTTTCAATAATATTTAAATCCTTGTATTGAAAAAAAAAACCGATTATATTCGGTCAAATATAGTAGAAAATTCATTACAATATGAATACTTATTTTTGACAATGGTGATACCTATACTTTAGTGTAAATTATAAACTATAAAATATCAATAAGCTAAGTATAATAATATTAATTRTACTAAAAATAATAAAAAAAACTGTATCTGTTAGTAAAACAAAAGCAATTATTAAGTTATGTTTTAAATTTATAACTTTTAAAAATAGTTTAAATGATAGTATATTTTGTATTCAACGATTTACCACTATAATTTAAATTACTTTCCTACGCAAATTCTAATATTAGTATTTAAATAGACGTTTACAAGTCTATAGGRTGGAACTAATTTATWATTCTCTATTTCTCTATACGAGTTATTTTMTCATTTGTCTATATTTTAGTGTTWGACARCTTATTATAAATTTAAAACCAATACAATCAATATTCAAATATTCATTGACAATGCCGGAGAACACTCTGATATCCTCTTCTATTAAATCATATGCCTTAATGAATGAAATATACATATATTGTTTTGCTGGACAAGGGCATGCTCATCAATGATACTTTACGAACAGCAATGGTGCCGAGCCTTATGTGTTTGTGTAATCGTGTGTAGGTATGTGGTAGTTGGTGATGGGCACTACTTATTGTATTCAGCATAACACGGTTCGATGTATAATGTATTTTATATGGTCGATCACTTAATAAATATATGTTGACCTATATGCACATTCTGTTCTTCTGAATTCGCTAATCGTCACTGTCATAATCGGCTAATATCACTACTTCTGCGGTGTGACATGACGTGACGATGCGCACATTTGTGATGCTCGAACACTGACCCGACCTACAATCTCTTAGCCCCCAACCACAACCCCTCCGTTGGTCATTATCCAGCCCATGACCTATATATGTACATCTCGCACGATTATTATACCTACCTATTTATTGTAATATATATATATATATAATTCTGTATTATATGTGTGTATATTGTGCGTGTACGGCGATATTGTATGGAAGCGGTTACTTACCCATTTATCGTTTTCAGCATTCTTTCGTGATCGGCGGCGACTCGAACCGATCGATTACCAACATGGTCGTGTCGGGAATGGGCGTGTGGCTGTCACTGCAGAACTCGGCCGTGCTCCGGCTCGTTCACTCGGTCACGTACGAAGTTCTRGCCGAAGTAAACACTGCGCCGGCCGTCACTAAAATGCTGTCGAGTAAGTACCTATAACATAATGTGTGTCGCATTGCGGTCGTGCAGATATTTTATGGTTTCGCGACCGTTTTATTAAAAATATGTAGGTAAAATTTATGGACGACGAACTTCAATAATGGTACATTTGTTGTTTTTTTTTTTTCTAATCGTTTTTCTTTTTACCGTTTGTCCTTTGCAGGCTGCGACGACATCATAAGGCAACACAAAGCGGCGTGCCTTAGAGTGACGTCGCTGTTGGCGGTCAAAGACCTATTGTGGATCGGCACCAGTGCGGGCGTCGTCTTGACCATGTCCATACCGGCCGTGGTCGCGAACACCGGAAAACTCGTCACTCTCCCTGTTCCTATTGGTTAGTCGATATACTTTAAACCTGCATATACATACAGCACTATAACCAGACTTATGTATAAGACATTATCAAGCATGCTTAGATGTTATTTCTAGTGCGTGATGTGTGTGGGGAGGGAATGGAAAAGTCTTAGGGTCTCGTAGAAAATGGTCGACATTAAAAAACGCGCTGATTTCATTATTATTTTCTGTCAATAGTATAAAAAAWTTAAGAATCTCAATGCTTAATATAACTAAAATTAGTTGTATTAATGATCTATGAAATAAATGCATGTATTAMAAGTCATGTATTACATTTAAAACTTATAAGTAGAKGTCGGATTTTTATGATTTTACATATGTGTTTCTARTCTATGCAGTTAAATAGGAGTGAGAAATCTTTAAGATTCATGAAACACAGAATTCATAGGAATAAATGTATTTTGCATAATATAAAGCATTTTTTATGGGTTAGAGAATATTTGAGAATATTTTTGTAATATCGGCATATAATGAATATATTTCACGTATATCAGCACTTTGTTACGTATAATGTTCACTAAATAATTCTGTTTATAAATAATTAATTTCTGGGTTTTAATAAAAATTAATCTCCAGGTATTCCTTATCGATTGCGATAGCACGTAGGTTATTTCGTTAGCTAAAATAAAWTTAAACTGAWTTTTTTTTTAATATTAAAARAATATTTTGCATATTTAARGACRTAAAAMATCATATATCTGGTATTTTAAAAGAATATTAGGAGAATATATTRSCTAATTTATGCAACATAAAAACATCATATTTTAAGGATTTTAAGAGAATATACATCCGACCTCCACTTATAAGAATAGTTCAAATACCTATTGTATTCATTAGTTTGTTAAAAGTATTTGAAATGCTTTTTCCATGCAAATACAAATATCATATAATATTAAAATATATTTTTACAAGACTGACAGTATAAAATGAAATAATTATAACCTATACTAAAATATGTATTTGATTGTTTATTCTGTCGTACGTTATAATATTATTCTCTTTACTTTTTCACACAGGTGTGCCACACGGTCACACGGGCCACGTGCGGTTCCTGACTCTGGTCGGCCATTTGCCGCAGAACTTTTCCAAACAGCGACGGCAATCGTTGAACCAAAGGAAGATGAGCTCGTCCGGCAAACTGTTGCTGATATCGGGCGGCGACGGGTACGAGGATTTCCGGTCGACGGCCGCGTCGGAAGTGGCTGGTCGCGAGGACTCTACTAACCACCTGTTGCTGTGGCACGTGTGACGGGATGCAGATCCGGTGTAGGAGACGTAGCCCTCAAATACATTATAGTCTCCGGTTTCAAGACCGTTCGTGGACCATCACCTCCACAGATCGATATTATAAATTATTAGTTGATAACACGTTTCTCCGATGTCGGGCGAAGACGAGTGTGCGTATGCGTCGCAGTCGCAGTGTTTCCTAGTATAATTCTCGGATCAGTGCACTTGAGCCATTTAAACTTTTTTGGGATGGTGGATGGGTCGTTGGAACCAATAACTCTGAACGGAGTCGTTTTTCGTTTGGTTCAAGTCCATTCCTATATAATATAATATAGCATACCGGATCGGCGTGTCTGATTTTTGTAGATTTATCGTCGGCGTCGATGTAGACTGTAGAGCGATCCGATCAATGTAATATTATTACCATTCAATCGACGATTTATTGTATAATTACTTGTTAGTTATAAGCAAAGATCGATACTGTAAATAGTTAACATGCCTATCCTTATCCGCCCATAAAAAACCATACGYGGACTTGTATTCGTATTTTCGCGAGAGTAATCCTACATATTTAAGTATTTGCTCGTGTGCTTAGAAAAAGGAGACATTGCATGAATGTATGAATTTTAAAGGATCCCCAAGATTTTATTGCGTCAAATCTCCTAACTCTTTATCCAGATTTTGAGTGGATATTATTATTAGGGTTCCTCGATATATATATGTTATACCTTATACACGTCATGTTATTATGATGCATTTTTTCACGATTTTTCATTTAACTATAATTAATTTATTGATTATTTTGATTATTTTTTTGTTATTTATAAATTCTCATCATTATTGCCATATATTTTTACTATCGTTCTTTGTCATTTTCTTATTATTACTAGGTACTATTATTACCATAATTATTATAGTCGTAGGCTAAAATTTGTGTTAAATAAAAGTAATATATTAATATTATTAAGTTATTACAATTTTTACTAAATTCATAAATATTGTAAAATTAAATTATACTCCTTTATTAGCGATAAGTATTTATATCGAATGTAAACTGCAGTTATATTAAGTCTTAGCTAATTTTTGTTTAGTGAGAAATACGTGTAGGTATTTATTTTAGGAATATCAGGTACAGTATTCCTAATTTTTTAACTTTAAATTCTTTACTTAAACCCGTTTAATTAATGTTAATATTATCAACTAAAATATAGGTACCTAATTTATTTTTATTTTGTTTATTAAACATATTTTATTGTTTTGTATGTCTCGTACAATTTAGATTTTTAAGTTATTATGTAATTATTTGTTACC